TGGTCGGCCCTGGGCGGGGCGGTGGCCGTGACCAGGAACTTGACGGGCCCGTGGTGTGCGTGGTAGGAGACCATGCCCCTCCCTGCAGGGAGAGGGACCAGCTGTCGCCTGGAGTGGAAGCCGCGGGGCCCACCCCACCGTCTCCCGAGTCCCAGGGACAACATCCCGCAAAGACGCCCCCTACCTGAGTGACAGTTAAAATTAAAATAGCTCCTAGAGCAGTGATGGCGAACCTATGACACACGTGTCAGAGGTGACACGCGAACTCATTTTTTTGGTTGATTTTTCTTTGTTAAATGGCATTTAAATATATACAATAAATATCAAAAATATAAGTCTTTGTTTTACTATGGTTGCAAACATCAAAAAATTTCTATATGTGACACGGCACCAGAGTTAAGTTAGGGTTTTTCAAAATGCTGACAGGCCGAGCTCAAAAGGTTCGCCATCACTGGCCTAGAGGATGTTCCCCTGGGCTTTTCGTTAATACGAAGACAGCTTTCAAAATGGTGGCCTGAAACACGGTATTGGGTTTTGTCAACAGTATCCAGTTCTAGTACCTCGTGCTTTTATTTTTTTATTTTAGAGCGAGAGGAAGGGAGAGGGAGAAAGAGAGAAACATCCATGATGAGAGAGAATTGTCGACCGGCTGCCTCCTGCATGCCCCTTATGGGGATCAAGCCCACAACCCGGGCATGTGGCCAGGAATGGAACTGGGACCTCTTGGGGCATGGGTCGGCGCTCACCCACTGAGCCGCACTGGCCGGGCCAATGTGGTGCTTTTAAAGGAATTAAATAGTAATCTCCCCGGGCTCTGCGTAAGCGCCTTCTCCCCTGCGCTAAGGAAGTGTGATTTCCCTAAGTCTTTTGATGAAAAAATCACGCATCTGAAATGTGTCAGCTTTAGGAACAAAATGCCGAAACTTCCTGCCATTTTTTATCACAAAAAGGTTTGAGGTGCAGGGCAGGCTGACTCTGTGGCTTTAATTCCGTGGGGACTTTTCACTTAAAACGTGATGAGATTCCGGTTTCAGGTCTTTCTCTGAAACCCGGGCCTGCTCGCTGACTTCCCAAGGCCAGTCCTGGAGGGCTTCCCAGGGGAGGAAGCGCCTAGGAAGCGCGTCCCTGCCCACCGCGTGGCTTTGGCCGAGACAGGTCCGCGGGCCCCACCTGCGTCCCACGTTGGCCAAGCCGACGACTGATTACAGGTCCTTGGCCGTGGTCAGCTGCCTCTCCTCAAGGGCGGCTGGGAAACCCAGAACGCCCACAGCAGCGGGGCCGCGGGGACGCAGAGGGGGAGGCACCTGGGCCCCACCTGGTGACTGAGCGAGTGGCATGTTCCCTCCTCACAGCGACCACACCCGACACCCCCCCCGCCCCCCGCCAAGGGGAGCCGTGCCCACACCACAGAGGCACCGCACCTGACCCAGAACCCGGGGACGACCGAGCAGCCACCATGAGGCGTGGAGCCCAGGCCACTGCCCAGCACTGAGCGTGGACCAGTCACACGCGGGACAAGGACGCAGCTCAGAAACCAGGCGGCCAGGGAAACTTGTGTGACATGGAAACATTATGCACACTATGTACAACCCTGTATGTTCTGTAACACTACACATGACAGCACATGTTCCCTAACACTGCAGGACAGAAAGACAGAAGTTATTCAGATGAATACACAGTCCCCACGGTACACTAAACCCCGGGAATTTAAATTGTTTAGCAATTGCCAGGGTGAGAAGGCAGGACCGGCCAGGTGCTTGGTGGGACTGCAGGAGGGTGGAGGCTGGAGGTGTCTGCTCACCTGTCACTTTGGGGATGCCCTGCAGACGAGGGACAGGCAGGGCCACCACGAGCCCCAGGCTGGTGCCGACCATCAGCAAGCCGTGGCAGACGAGCAGGCTGGTCACGGACAGCCGCTGGGGCCCTGCGGGGACAGAGAGGGGCGGCGGCCAGGTGGCCGGGGTGCTGTCTGGACTGCCACGCCAACAGCACGCCTCCCGGGAGCACCGTCAGGGCTCTAACCACGTCTGCGCTTTGTCCACGGGACCAGAGACATGCCCAACCCTGGGAGCGCGTCCGGGACAGCCCTCCGCAGGTGCCCGCTGGGACCCGCCCAGGCTGCACCTTCAGAGGCGAAGCAAATGCCACAGGTCATCTCTGCACCCATTTACTCTGTTAGTAAAGCCAGGAGACCTGAGGCGTACACACACCGTACACATGCATGTGCACTTGTGCACAGGCTCACAGGCACACACACATGTAGACACGCACCCACATGTGCATGCATACACACATACATGTGGGCACACATGCTCTCACTCAGACACATATGAACACATACATGTGGGCTCATATGCATGCACGTGCACGCATGCCCAGGGAGGGAGGTGCTGCCTGTGACCCCGAGGGCCCCGCCCAGGGACTCTCCACCCTCTGGCTCCGGCTGCAGGCCTTGCCCCAGGGCCCAGCCGTCAAGCTAATGCTGAGTCTCGCCCTCTGGATCTGTGGCTAGACCAGCGGTTCTCAACCTTCCTCATGCCGCGACCCTTTCATACAGTTCCTCATGTTGTGGTGACCCCCACCCATAACATTATTTTCGTTGCTACTTCATAACTGTAATTTTGCTACTGTTATGAATCGTCATGTAAATATCTGATATGCAGAATGTATTTTCATTGTTACAAATTGAACATAATTAAAGCATAGTGATTAATCACAAAAACAATATGTAATTAGGTATGTGTTTTCCGATGGTCTTAGGCGACCCCTGAGAAAGGGTCGTTCGGCCCCCAAAGGGGTCGCGACCCACAGGTTGAGAACCGTTGGGCTAGACAGTCCGCACTTTAATCTGATTCTCCACCAATCCAGAGAGCCGCCTGCCAGATGCAGAGTCCCTGCCCTGACAGAACTGGGCACACGCGAAACCCTGAGACAGGCTGCGTCCCAGCTCCGCACCCCACCCCTCTTCTCCACACCGCTCCCATCTCCACGCACGCCC